AAGAAAGAAAGAAAGAAAGAAAGAAAGAAAGAAAGAAAGAAAGAAAGAAAAAAGGAAGGAAGGAAGAGAAAGAAAGAAAAGGAAAGAAAGAAGAAAGAAAAAGAAAAGGAAAGAAAGAAAGAAAGAAAGAAAGAAAGAAAGAAAGAAAGAAAATTTAAAAAGTGGAACTAAAAGACATACAGATTTGAGAGGAAGAAAAAAAGATCTCCTTATTTGCAGATGACATAATTGTCTATGTAGAAAATCCCAAGGAAAACACACACACACACACACACGCACACACACACAGACACTTCTTCAAACTAGTAAGTGAGTTTAACAAGGTAATAGGATACAAGATAAATGGAAAAACCAATTGCATGTCTATAAAGTAGCAATGAACACATAGACATTCTAATTTGAACCTAAAAGCTCCATGTCATTTGCAATCACTCAAAAATATTTAGGTGTAATTTTAAGAAACCTTTATAGGACTTGTATGCTGAAAACTACAAAATAATGATGAAATCTAAATACATGATGAGACATACCATGTTCATTGATCAGAGCATACATAGTAAAGAGATCAAGTGGTGGAAAGAAAGCTAACTGAATCACACAGAAAATGCTAACATCAAATGTGGATGGGTGTGGCTGATAACACTGTGAACTGAGGGAGCTGGTAGATATTTGAGGTTTGTGGCTTGGTTCAGTTGGGTCTAATTATCCTCTTTTATCTAGTGTTTCTCTCAGATAAACTCAATAGAACTGGAACAAATTTGCATTTTCAAAAGCAGGTGTGTTTTCAAAAAATTTGAGCATAACACCCTCGTTGTTAAAATTACTACAGAAATTTCTGTTTTAGTAATTTTTTAAAAAAAGGATAGTTATTAATTGGTAAGATTAGGTATGGAAATATATATGTATACATATACATATTTATAATATTTATATTGTTAATATATATTTGTCACTGGCATTCAAAAGGAAGATGATTTTGTCACTACACCCATTCAGAAATCTTCATAAGTCCCCATTACATATAAAATTAAGCTTTGGCTTACAGAACACCCAGTGATGACATAGGAGGGCAGTCTTTCTGCTGATACAGAGAGAATGGATGACAAAAAAGTTAAAAAACTAGGGTCACAAAAGCACATGAAACAAAAGGAAATGGGTTATGATCTTGATCCTTAACCCAAAGCTTCATTGGGTGCATAGAAGATAAACATCTGAGCAGGACCCTTGTAAGGCAAAAAACATCAGAGCTAGGATGGCAGGTTCCCACCCAGCAGGTGTCCTAGCAGGTGGCAGGTGTCCCAGCAGATACCAGGCTGGGAACCTTGGGATTGCTTTTGCCTTTCCTATTCTGAGTAATTTCCTGTGGCCTCAGACCTGCCCGATTTTGATTGAGTAGTTATGTGTTTTATAAACAGGATGGAGAATAAGGATTGCAATAGACATGGAAGTAATTAGGGGAGCATTCCTAGTTCTCAACCATAGATGGTAGCAACCTAGAGGCTGCCCAGGAGGCATAGGTCTGAAGGGCTGTTTACTTATCTGCTCATGAAGGCATACAAGGTCTGCCCCTACATTTGAACCCCCTCCTTCCACTATGCTCCTAGGCCTCAAGGGAGGGTCCACCTGTGAACGCCTTCCAGAACTGACTCTGAGGGGCCTTCCTCATATCAATAATTCTCCATCTCCTCCAGACCCCAATAGGTACCTTACACACCGGGGGGGGGGTTCTCTGACCTATAGAAAAAAAAATCCTGCTTCTAAGAGGTTATGTCTTTTCCAAATATTTTTACCTGACACAATGTACTTTTATAATTAGTGAGTTTTCTACACATCCTATACAGTGTATCAACACAGACAGATACACACGCACGTGCGTGCACACACACACACAAACACACACACACACAATATATATATATATATATATATATATTAGTATCTTATCTCAAAGTTTGCAAATGTGTTTTTATTATTATTATGTTTGGATAGACTTTCATAGACTTTGGGTGCATTACTATTTACTTTTAATAAGAATTTTAGGTTGATCTCAGTATCTGATCTACTGATTTTTTTAAATATATCAAGGATATTTATATCAGGTATACATGAGGACAATTTTTTATCCCAAGATTTTCATGTGCTTTTTAATGCTGCTTTTCTTCAAACAGGTTGCTTTTCAATAGATGTATATGGCTAAGAAGGTAATACTATTCTATGTATAAAAATATCTGACTAGAACACTGGGGACAGAGAATACCAGCCTCCAGGTCAGCTTTACTTTCTCATTTAGTACCGTGTCTAAATATTTGCAGTTGTGTTTTTGTAGGTTATTATGGTTGGATAGATTTCATGCATATCTTGGGTATTCCTATTGATTTTAATAACAATTCTTGATTGATACCTGTTTCCCTCTTTCTAGTGATTCCTTTATATGTCAAGGATATTAATACAATATAAGTTATATATGATGGCAATTTATTCTTCCCAAGTTCTCTTGTGCTCTTTAATGCTGTTTTCCCCTAAATGGATTGCTTTTAAATTTGAATAGATTTGTGTGGCTAAGAAAGAATACTGTTCTCTGCCTTAAAATATTTGACTAATACACTAGGGGCACAGAACACTATCCCCAGGTATAACAGAATAAGAGAACATCCCCCACCCTGGTAGCCACACAGCCATGGGGCACACACAGAGCCTGGGCTTTAAAGAGAGGTCTAGTATTTGAGTCTCTACCCTACTGTTCTCCAAGAGTCACTGACCCTCTTTGGATCTCCTTTTCTTTCTCTGTAGACCAGTGATCAAAATACAGGCCTTGAATGGATTTTGCAGAGATTCAACATAACACACAATGCCACTATTTATTAAGAAGAGAATCGGGGATCCCGGGTGAGAAAATACGCAGTTGGTCCTTGAGCAGATTAGTGTCAGTTAAACGTTGGCTTCCCAGCTCCCAGCAAACCTCCCGCTCAGTCAGAGATTAACTCAGGCTAGAGAAAATAGACAGCAAAGATGATGAAGATGACTACAAAAACAGTTTCTTGTCAGGGTTGTGTTCTCAGGATCCTGGATGAGTCTGAGTGAGGGTCTCCTCTGGGATCATGTGCTTGGCCTGGAGGAAGTGAAGAGAGGGAGTTGGGAGATCAGCAGAGCCAGGAGCCCTGAGTCTCCTCCCCAGGCCACCCAGTTTCGGCTCATTTGGCCTGAATTCCTGAACCTCACCTTGGGCCATGTGAGAACCAATATAGTCCCACTGGCTGTCATGAAGTTACCTAGTGTGGAGAAAGCACAGCTGACATCCATTAAAACTAAAGCTGGAGACAATCTGATTGCACAGTACCATTTCCCAATCCATGCAAAAGAAACACGCCACTACATTTATCACAACTTAGGCAGTGGAATGAGCCCTGTGGCACAGTGTGTACTGGGAAAAATTCCTGAAACCAAAATGTCTGTCAATAAAGGTGCAGGTCCATGGATTTAGGAAAGCAATGAACAACTGTTTTAAAAAACAGGCTAGCTAAAAATAAGTAAGTAAGTAAGTAAGTAAGTAAATAAATAAATAAACAAATAAACAAACTGCTTAGCTTATAAGTAATGAAAGGATAATGTTCAGGGTTGATAATGAGTGGACTAAATGAGCAAAACAAATTACCTGCAAGTTGACATAATTCAATCTTGGTTACTCCCAGCTCCCTCCTATCCCCATGCACCCCCAGCACTCACTTCTGAGACCACTGGAAATTCATCCCAGACTGGGTGGAGAAAGTCTGCCCCATTTCCTGCTGCTTCTGGCAAAGGGTGGGCCAGGAGCTGCAGGAGGGTGTGGGCACTGGGATAGAGAATGTGCTCTGGGTCTCCTTGGGGTTGGCGTCCTTCACAAACAGATCATCATTCACGATGCATAGACTGAAGGAAAAAAATGGGACCTTATTAACTGGACAGATAGACAACCCCACACCCCAACAACGATCCTGCTTCCACTGCCACTCAGCAACCAGGTCCTTTCCATACTCTTACTGTGCCTGCCACCCAGGTTCCTTGGCTGGTATCTCTACTTTTCCTTCACCCTTCACAGAGCCAACCTTTGGAGAGACTGTCTAACCAATTTCACTACATTTATAGGTTTATCCCCAAACCACAGACAATTTTACACCCATATTTACACTGCCGAGGAGTGGACAGTCTAATCTCCATTTTCAGAGGAAGTCACTGGGTCACAAAGAGATCATGTGACTTGACAAAGTTCACAAAACTAGTGAGTGTTGGGATCAGGGAAAGAACCCATAATCTGATTCCAGAGCCGATGCTCTTAATCACTAGGAGACATGATTCCTTGGTTGTACCTGTTGGCTTTTCACAATATTGAGAACACCCCGAAGCCTGTAGCTCCCCATTCCCATACCCCTGAACTCATACTGAACTGGGTGTTCCACCCACAACAAAGCACTCACCTGTAACTGCTGACAGGGGTAGCGATGAATGTCCGGGTGAAGGCACGAACAGAATCCTGAGACATGCCTTCCACTTCAACAACGAGCAACAAACAACAATACCCCTTTAGCATTCCACATGCTTTACATACTCACACAGCATTCCCCAGTCAGGGTCTGACTTGATATTCGTGTGAAGGGGACAGTTTTTCTGTGGGGAGTCAGGGTGTTCCGAATGGGGAAGGCAATCTGTTCCCAGTGACAGGAACACTACCATGTGCTGGGACCAGTGGAAACCACTTCAGAAGTGCATTTGAGGGGCACCTGGGTGGCTCAGTCGTTAAGCGTCTGCCTTCGGCTCAGGTCATGATCCCAGGGTCCTGGGATCGAGCCCCGTATCGGGCTCCCTGCTCCATGGGAAGCCTGCTTCTCCCTCTCCCACTCCCCCTGCTTGTGTTCCCTCTCTTGCTGTGTCTCTCTCTGTCAAATAAATAAAATCTTCAAAAAAAAAAAAAAAGAAATGCATTTCATGCATTTTTCACAGCTGCTCAACAGATGGACATCATTAGGTCCATTAGCAAATGAAGAAACTTACAGGTTAAGAGCCCAAGGTCACAGAGTAAAGATCTAGCGTGAGAGCTGTCCAACTCCACAGACTGTGTCCCTAATGCCCAAGCTGTGTGGGGCAGACCGGCATAGACCTAGTTCAGACCAGGATGCTTTGAGGGCAGCGTGGAAATGGGAGAACACAACGGGAATAGGAAGAGAAAAGAAGGCACCAGGGAAGCTGGGAGAGTTCTGTGAGGGAGCCCAGCCAGCAGGGAGAGAGCAGAGGAGCATCTGGGGAGGAGGTTCTACACACACGCACCTTCCTTGAACACCCCGTTGACAGAGAAGCAGAGCATCGTCTCCTGAAAGGGAAGAGCCCAGGTACTAAGTCACCTAAACTTCCTACCCACCCGTGGCTTTCTGCGGCTGCCCGAGGGAGGAAGCTGGTGCTCACCGTCTGGAACCACATGTCCACCATGAAGGAGCTGAGGTCATGCTGAGTTTGAGGCAGCACACAGAGGGAGCACATGATGTCACATTTTGTATGCTTCAGCAGCTGAACACGCAGGGCTATGGGGGTGGAGGAGGAGAAACAAGCAAAGGTCAAGGGTTGCCACACCCTAGGCCCTATAATGATCACTTCACACCCCTTTCCCTGCCCAGTCTTCCCCATCACACACGCACAGGGGTCCTTGAGCTTCTTCATATTCCTGCTTTCCTTGAAGTATTTGCACAGGCTGCTTCTAGGAGAGAAAGAGGGACAGGAGGTGGTGGTCTGGCCGGTGTGGGTGTTTCCAGGAGCTGCCCTGTATCCACTGGGGAGCCACAGGGCCCAGGAGCAGAGTTGGAGCTTTGCTACTCACGGGGCTGACTCCTCGGGGTTGAAGGGAATGGCCAGGGAGAAGCAGGCCTCATCGTGGTAGGCACCGAGGAGACCCTGACGGTCTCCAGAGTCGTAGATCGAGTAGTACCTGTGGGAGGGCAATGAGGACCGTCTGTCTCTGTGGTGTGGATCCCAAATGAGATTTCAAGACCCAGTCGGCAGTCCTGAGCTTGGGTGGCCTCACCCATCCCAGCCAACCCCTTCCCCAGATTCCCAGGAGTACTTACTGCTGCAGGAATTGCAGGACTAGACTCTTCAGGGCATCAGATCCAAAGAAGCTTCCCTGGAATCACAACAGTCCTCAGGACCACGGCTGATAACCCCTCCTCACGCACCACCCAAAGCCCGGCTTGATCCGCCCTCCTCACCTTGCAGGTCGGTAACCTCTTGTGGGCTGCAATACTGAGGCTGGTTGGTGAAGGTGAGTCCTGGCTGTCCTGGGGAAAGGAAGAGGGAGTGGGCAGTGTGGACCAGGAGCTGGTGCTGAACAATCAGGGAAAGGATGGGCCCCGGAGAGGGTGAGGGTCAGAGGCCAGGTGCGAAAGGGCCCTGGAAATTACATGGGCAAGACTACATTTGGGGTCCCTGTCTTGGGGTCCCTGATGCCCCTGGAGAACATGGTTGAAGGCGATCTGGAGCCCTTGTTGGGTTCCCACATGGATCTGGACCTCCATGAGGTTGAAGGGTCATGAAAATTGTAACTTCTGCAAGACCTAAATGGCTTCAGGGCAGGTTTGGGGCAGCATCAGTGCCAGCAGAGGAGTCAATGATCAACGAATACACCTACCAGGCATAGTAACTTGGGAAACAATTCCAGGATGGAGCTGCAGAAATCCAGACAAAACAGAAAAGTCAGTGAAACTTTGCAGGTGTCCTTCATCATGAGAGCAAGCACACTTACACCTGACACACAGCCCAGTATGTCCCACCTACACTGCAGTGTCCTAGGCTTCCAGAGCCCTTGGCACCTCCCTTGTGGATGGGCCTAGAGGGAAAGCACACACTCTCTTCCCCCTCCTCTCTCTGATTCCATTCCTCGACCCACCCCCTCCTCCCTCTCTTTACCCCTGGGTGGATCCCACCTAAACTGTCCTGACTCCCATCTCCAGTGCCACCAGAAGCAACATTTGGAGCCCAGGCTCCAGGGCTGCCTTCTCCTTCCTGCCTCCCTTCCTTCCTTCAGGTCCCTACCAAAGGCTCCAGAGAGAAGAGGGAATGGGGTGGAAGCCCAGGGCTCTGCTACCTCACTAGGGGTCCAGCACGCTGCAGGACCATGACACCCCCCCGCCCAGGGGTGGCCCAGGATGCTGGGGCAAGGAGGTGAGTGAGGCAGGAACCAGGAGGCAGAGGGGGAGAGCGAGGGGGATGAAGACAGAAGAGGGGTTGAAGGTAGGAAGGGAAAGGTGAGAGAGACATAGGGGAGTAGAGACAAAAGAGGGAGAGAAAGCAAAACAAAAGGAAGGGAAAGAAGCTCTACCATGGTGGTGAGGGTCAGGGAGGAAGAGAGGAGAAGGGGGAAATGGCTCTCTGCCTGCGGTCCTTTCCTTCATCTGCCCTGGCTGGCCCTGGCATCCGACGTAGGAATGGAAAACATGCCGGTGTTGGGCTGGGGGCCCACTGCACGCCGGTTGAAACTTTGTCACCTGTGTGAACTCAGTCTGAGCCGGGCATGGGGAACGAAGCAGCCACGGGGGCAGGAGACCTACCCCAGGGGGAGTAGAGGGTCAAGCCCCAGGTCAGCATGGAGCTGAGGGTCTGTGGTTCCCTCTTATGATCACCGCCTTCCCTCCTGATGACCCCAGTGCACCTGTGCCTGTCCCAGTCGGTTCCTTGCCTGAGGGATTATACCCATGTCGGGCTACCCACAGGGCTCCTCTGAAGGACCAGTCTGGATGAGGTGACGTGCGGAGGGAGGGGAGGGGGCAGTGCCTCTGAGAGGCCTGTCCTCCTGTCCTCTCAAGCACCTCTGCCCTCTGGCTTCCATTCCTGTCTCAGGAAGCCCTCTGCTCACTGGCAGTCACCCACTTCTGGCCCCCTGACTCAGGGAATCCTGGTTTCTCCCAAGGAGGGCCCGGCTCCCCGCAGGGGGTCAGAGGAACGGATGTCATGATGGCAGTCCCCCAGGACCTCGGCCCTCAGCATGCGGCAGGAAAACCACCAAGGCAGCCTGGAATTGGAGGGGGGATACATTTGGTTCAAGGAAAAGAGGGTCCCTCTCAGAACAAGGGAGGGAAGCCCTGTCTCGGCAGGGAGGCAGAAAGGCCCATCTCAGCATGAGGCCCTGGGCTGGAGGGCCCCGCTCTGTCCAGGGCACCAGCACCGGGCTCAAGGTGGTCACTCTGGTCCTAGTGAGGAAGGGGAGCCCTGTTTCGTAGATCACACTTTGGGGATGGCACACCAGAGAAGGCTGGGTGCAGACAACCTGCAAACGGGCCTCAGACCAGACAAACTGGTGAGCAGGTCAGAGGAAAGGAAGGAGATGTCTAAGCACAGGCGAGGGACACAGAGAAGAAAGCATAGGGCCTCTGGTCCCCCCAAAGGAACAGAGCTGCTGCCTCCTCCAAACAGGCACCGTCAGGCATAGTTCAGAGTCCCACGGGGTGACACAGTGTACAACTGACCTTATGTTGGTTGATTTATCAGGGAGGGCGGTGCACAGGGCACTTCTATCGGTACTCATCTCTTCTGGCTGCAGACTTTTGCCCTCGTCCAACTCCCCTGCAGACTTCACCTATAATTATGGGGAGGAAACACGTGGAGCAGAGAGAGATGACCAGGATGACCCTGCAGCCCCAGTCCTTCCCTTCTCCAACAAATCCACTTCCCTGACTCTTGTCACCATCCCGTGAGCACTCCCAACTTCCTTTCAGAGAAGGATCTGGGTACCACACCTCACCTCACTGTTGGAGAGGTTCAAGCTCTCGATGCTGGCGGCATTCTGCATAGTGTTGGACAGGCCATCCAGCTGGCTGGGTGTCTTGGTGCTCGGGTTCGAGGGCAAAAGCTATGATGAGGAAAAAGTTAGAGTGAGGACCCCAACAGGGGATATCTGAGACCAACCTGCCTCTTCTACCTAATCTCTCCCACCTTCAGCGTCAGTCTCAGCACTGGGACTGAGTCCTCACCTTGGGCATGTTCTTTTCATGGGTCTGCAGGGAGGCAGCCATGCTGTTTCTAGGATTTGGTACCCTTTCAATATCATGGGTGATCAAGTCTCCGAGAAGCCGAGAGGAGGGAATCAGAAGGCTGAGAGAGGCCCGGCTGGTACAGCTCCAGCACCAACCCCTCCCCACGTTACCATCCCTAAGTCTCCTTCCCAGACAGGCCCCTCTGCCCTCACCTGCCCTAGAATTACTCCTGTAGGCATACCAGGGGCAAAGAGGACCCTCTGGATGTTAAGAGATTGCTGGGAGACTACATATCATTTGTTCACTGTCAGCAGCAGAGTTAGAGATGGGGTCAGTGGCTCTGAGTTTGAGGTGGAGATGGGGGGGCAATAGGTGTGGGAAGGAGATGCGGGCCTGGATGTGGATGCACAGCTACTCTTGAATCTGCATTACCTTTGTCTGCTCCACCTTTTCTGACTTCAGCTCCTTGTGCACAGAGTGGGGTGCATCAGAGGGGTAGATAAAGATAGAGATCTGTAGGGAACACAAGAGGGGCTGGGTTAAGTACCAGGAAATCCGACACAAGACCTTGCCCCTGTCCTGCCCTCTTGCCCCTAACTGGTCCCAGTCACGCCCTTGACACGTACCCTTTCGTTAGCGTCATCCCAGATCTTGCCGTTGACACTCTTCAATGCAAAGGCAACGTTGGCATTCTCAACAAAGAACTGGGCCTGCATTCTCTCATAGTGAAACTATAGGGAGAATGGCAAGAGAAAGAGAATATGAGACCCGAGCCACTGCTCATCTGCCCTGTTTCTTCTCATCTGCTTCGCTGTTTTCTCTTACCTCGACTGGGGTGAAGGGGACACTGCATTGTCCCTGAATCAGATCCAGCAGCCACTTCTCATCATATTTGATGCCGAATGGAATCTAGGAGCCAGAGATGGGAGAAAAGATTGACACAATGGATTCCAAGGTTAAGATAAGACCCAACCATGTCTTCCTTTCATACCGTTTATTTGGGGGGCACGGGGGGCTTTAAAATAATTTCTTATGATAGGACATTATCCTTTATTGCAAACTCTTGTACCAGACATGGATTTACTAAATAACTTTTCCTTCAATTCAAACACTTTTTTTTCAAATAATCGACTTAAGATGTTTAATATGAACTTCCTTTTATAAAGTTCCAAGTGATACTAGCTCAGGGCAGGATGCCTTAGCCTGCTTCTCCAACAGGGACCCCAAAGACACAACCTCCTCCCACACTCAGCTAGAGCTAAACTGAGCCTTCCAGTGTGGAGTTGCTCCATCTCCTTGGCTGTAGTTTCCTCTGCTCTTAGACAACTTACCTGATTCTCCCTATAGTCAGTCTGTTCCCTTTATATTGCTCCTCTGAGTCTGCCCTTACTTGATCTAGGATGTTAACATATGTAATGCTACATATGTAATGATGCTAGTAATAAAAAGACCGATTACCCACTCCTCTGCCCCCAGAAAAGTACATAGCGTCTCTACATGAGTCCAACACAATTCCCTCTGTTCACCTTCTTCTACTTATTAGGTCCATTTTGCAGGGGCACTCACAATGATCTTGAACCATTTCCCCACGGTCTCATCCTGCCTCTCCCGCTCCATTCTTCTCTCTGGAGGCTTTTGCTCTCCCTTCATGTTAGCTTGGGTTTGGTCTTGTTTCTGAAAATTGCCTCTCCGACGACATGGTGGAATGGCATAGGGAGCACTGTGGGGAAGTGGAGAGAAGGAAGTAGTCCACACGTGCTCAGAAAGTCTTCCATTACACGTTTGCCCACTGATACCAGGGTACAATAAAGTTTGCTCAACCATTAACCTGATTCTATCATTCATCACTCTTCCAGGTTGGAGAAGAGAATGACATATTCAGCTACAGGGCTATGTATTCCACTGGCTGGTACATTTCAGCTATGCTGACTGGTCACTTACTATCTCACTCGGGTGCTCATGTGAGCGCCATCTGTTGCCAGATCTCCATCTTGCTGCTGGTGGGATGAAGGATAAATGCCAGAACTGACTTGTTCAGACCAGTTGTTATATCTCCTTCGGTAAATACCCCAGCATCTTGTTCTTCTTTGTAAGAGTTTACTTACATCATTATGCCCTGAAATTGAGAACAACGCATCAGTGGTCCCAACACCACAAACGGTTCTGGGGAAATATCATGGCTAATGAAGAAATATCACTGACTTTATCATCTAAAATGAAATAGAGCACAGTGCCAAAAAGGTTGAAAAACTTCACTTGTGGTTGCATTTCCTGGGAGAGGAGAGGTGGGGAGCACTTGCGGCCAAGAAGAAAACGAGCACAGAGGAAAGGGTTTGGGCCTAGGGTTTAATCTGTGATGTTAGCCCTTGCTCTGCCCTTTTCAGGCTGGGTGACCTGGGACAAGTTGCCTATCATCTCTAACTCACAGTTCCTTCCTCTGCCCTAGGGGGATAACAAAATCCACCCTGAAAGTTTGGTGTTATGGTTCAAGGGTCAAAGGTGAGTTCCCGCCTGAAGAAAGAATTAGAGAAGCGAAAGTTAGGTCTGATGACAATATCCAGAAAAGTCTGGAGAGACATAATATGGAGAATACCAAAAGACAGAGGGAGAGAATTAAGGGAGATCTAGTGAGCATATCCAACCCATGCTTCATTTGAGTCCCGGAATGAAGAGGAGGGAAACGTAGAGAAGTGGCATTTGAAGCGATCTTGCTTGAGAACTTTCCCAAAGTAACAGGATAATCAAGTCAGTATAACAATACTAATAGGAGACAAAGTATGCTTTAAGGAAAAACATTCCTAAAGAAAAGATGTACATTTCACAGTGATGTTAATGTAGCAAAACTGGGGAAATTTGTGACCAGAAGACTCAAACTAAAAGAAATATTAAAGGTTCTTCTTCAGGCAGAAGAAACACGATCCCAGATGGAGGCACAAAGATGCAGGAAAGAAAGACTAATGGCATTTGTGAATATGTAGGCCAGTCTAAATGAGTATTGACTATATAGCACCAGGACGCTAATGTCTTCTAGGGGTTTAAATATACATAGAATTAAAATTCATGGCAATAGGGCGCCTGGGTGGCTCAGTTGGTTAAGCGACTGCTTTCGGCCCAGGTCATGATCCTGGAGTCCCGGGATCGAGTCCCGCATCGGGCTCCCTGCTCGGCGGGGAGTCTGCTTCTCCCTCTGACCCTCTTCCCTCTCGTGCTCTCTATCTCTCATTCTCTCTCTCTCAAATAAATAAACAAAATCTTTAAAAATAAAATAAAATAAAATAAAATTCATGGCAATACATTGGGAGGGTGTGAGTGGAATCAAAGTGTTCCAAAGTTCCTTCTCTGTCTGAAGAGCTTTAAAGAAGTAATTTACATGAGACCATGAAAAGGCAAAAAAAGAAAAAAAAAGTACATTATAGTCTTAAGGGTAAACGCTACAAGAATGGCTAAAGAATGTTTAACTGTCCAGCCAAATGAGGTAACAATCTAATACTAAGAATATATATATATTAGGGGCTCCTGGGTGACTGAGTCTGTTAGGTGTCCATCTTTTTTTTCTAAGATTTTATTTATCTATTTATTTGAGAGCGAGAGAGAGAGAGATGGAGGAGGGGGGAAGGGAGGGGCAGAGTGGGAGGCAGAGGGAGAGGGAGATAATCTCAGGCAGACTCCACGCTGAGCAAAGAGCCCAACTCGGGGCTCTATCTCACAATCCCGAAGTCATGACCCCGAGATCATGACCTGAGCCGAAATCAAGAGTTGCCACTTAACTGACTAAGACACCCAGGCACCCCAAGGATCTGACTCTTGTTTTCAGCTCAGGTCATGTTCTCAGGTGTGTGAGATCAAGCCATTTTCTCTCTCTCTCTCTCTCTCTCTCTCTCTCTCCCTCTCCCCCTGCCCCTTCCCACCCCTCTCTCCCTCTAAAAGAAAATATTAAATCATTTCAACGAAAGGAGAGGAAAAGGGCCTCACAACAGGCAGAAATAAATGTGCAGTTAATATGGTATACAGAAACCAAGTTATATCTATATTTACATTAAAAGTTTCAGACTGGATATTCCAAATAGAAAGACGATTTTATGAGACCGGAAAGAAAACATTCCATCAAATGCTGCTTAAAGGAGAAACATGCAAAATTTAATGATTTAGAAAATTTTAAAATAAATTAAAACTTGGCAAAATGTGTACCATTTACACACTAACCTACTGAAAGCTGGTATACCCATATTACTAAAGGGAAAGGTGTTCTTTCAAGAAAAAAATAACATTACTAGAGAAAAGAAGGAGATTTCATTATGATAAAAGGTTCAATGCAAAAAGAAGCCATTAATACAAAATTCTAAATTGGTGTGCTTGTCTTAACACAGAGCCAAAACGTGCAAAGCGAACAATGACAGTAAAAGGAGAAATGGATAAATTCACGATTACAAATTGTGGCAACACACCTCCTTGAGTGACACATAAAATGGCAGACATAAGTTCCACTAGGTGGAGATTTTAAAATGAGAATTAAGTAAATTAACAAATTTACTTAATTGGCATGGAACAGTGCACATAAACACTGCACGTGGAACATTCCAGAATCGGTCATATGCTGGGCTATAAGGCAAACCTCAAGAATCGTCTCTGGGGGTAATACAATCTACCCTAAATAGTTGATATAAGAGTCAAGGGTAATGGTGGGTTCTCTGCCCCTCCCCCACCTCTAGTAGGCATCCAAAGAATGTTAATCTACACCAACCCCCCCCCCCCTTTGCCCCCCCCCCCCATCAACCTAGGAGACCCTCCCCACTCTCCAAAGGCTGGACCTGTGAGGACCACATAAGTCAGGTCTATCCCCTCAACCAGTGAAAAAAAATTCACCTCAGCCATGACCACTTCCATTGGAGAGGAGGTTTTCCATGTGGAACCAGGATGGGAATGTCAGGGCTCACTTGGCCCATTTCCTCAAGAGAGTGGAATACTAGTCAGCCTGGGCCCTCTCCACCCCTCCTCTAAATGGGGGTTGGCTGGGTGTCCAGTGGGGCGGGGTGGGGGAAGGGACCCAGAACCCCTCGTACCCTCTGGGGATCTGAGACCAAGGCCTCATGCTGACCAACTCACCCATGGTGTGGACCGAAGGCAGTGGCCCGTCACCAGTGTCCTCGCAGGTTGCTTGTGAAGAGAATCCGTGAGGTCTGGAGCCGGAGGTTTGGAGATGATCAGGGACGGCTGCTGAGGAAGGTGAGAGCAGGCCACAAACCACTTTGTCAGTGTCACACAAACAAGTCGGAATCCTTACAGGAAGTCCCTTCCTCAAAGGCATGGAGAAGAGAGCCTTGGCTGCCACCAGAGGAGGCTTTACTTCATATAATTCCTGTCCCCTGAATTTGTTACCAGCCTACCAGGGAATTGTTTCCAACTGAATCAGCCCTGCAGACAAGGCCAACTAGAATCATGAGGGGTGGGACCACGGTACTTGCAGCCACAAACACAAGGAACTCTGTATGCCAGGCTCTGTATCCACTGCAATACATCTTGTTCCCTCATTCTGCAAACCCAGAGAACTCTGAGTATCAGCTATAGGCCAGGCCTTGGATTTGCTACATTGCATCTGCTCTGTCATGGATTCCTCACAAGGGGACTCTGATACCACAGTCACCAGCTTTGCAAGTTTGCTGCAGCTTAATGAGGTGCTGGAGCTTGTTTGGAGTCATTCAGATGCTACCTGGAGAAACAGAGACTGCAACTGAGTTCCATGGAACGGCGGTGACATGTCCATGCATATGTAGCCTAACTAAATTCTTGCTGCAATATGTCGGATTTTATTTTTTTCTTAAGTTAGAGCAAAATAAAAGAATGTTCTGAAAATAATCACATGGCTGGCATTATCTCCAACTCATTCCAGAGAGATAATAGCAAACAAACTTACCCTCCCCCACCAAATAAAACAAAAACAAAAATAAAACAACACAACACACACACACACACACACACACACACACAGCAGCAGACCTGGAAACTAAAAAGGAAATAGCAAACAGAGTTTGGTGGGTCACTGTAATGAGAGGAGAATGAAACAAATCATGCCTTTTCCTTTACCAAAAAACATAGTATCGGTAGATGCCCCTTAGTCGTCAGAGACAGAACTGTAGCTCTGAAAGTTTCAGACCAGAGGGCTTTGCAAGGCAGAAAGAAGGAGGGAGGCGCCTGGGCTCCAGTGCATTAGCCAGAATTTTCTGGAATTTTCCACTACTTTCTGGAATTTTCTACTCTTTGCCCACAATCCCTTCCTGGATCTCCATGCCCCGAGAGAGAAAATTCAGTCCCTGAGAGAGGTGAAGAAAACTTGGCACATGAGAGTGTGAACATTTGGGGGTAAGGGAAGTGTAAGACAGAAACACACACACACACACACACACACACAGATAAACTGTCAAGTCGAAAGCTGAAGTTTATATTTGCTAATTAAACAGTATCGTGTGAACATTTTCATAACATGGTAAGTATAGGTGAACTTTTCTCGTGAATCGGCTGTTAGATGTTTTCAAGTGTTTCTCTCAACAAATTTGCCTAATCACAAAATGCTAAACATTAAAAACGTATACTTAGAAAATGAAATCATTCTGCACCTTCCGTCTGTATGATCCCCTCACCCCAACTCACAGATATCCAAGATATCCAATGTAAATAGATTGGTGCACATTTTCCAGAGGTGTTTCTCTTTAGGTAACGTGTACACCTACCTGAAAATATTTGTGTAGTTACGTGGTTATAGATACACACTTTTAAAAATTTGCAATCACATAAATAATTTTCTGCAAATTGATTTTTTCACTTACTTATTACAACATCTCCAGATTGCCATTTCTTCAGTTAATGCGGTGTGGCATCCTTCCAGATGTGTACTGGAGAAACATTTTGCTTTTACATAAAAAGCATACATAAAATTAGTTCTTATCATTTGTCCCTTTCTCCACTGATAAACAAAAGTCCTTTGTTTTCTAGCCCAGTAGCACAAATTCTGTAATATTGTTTGCAAATAGTTACTCCCATCTTTTCAAACTTTTTTTTTCTTTTGATAGTACAGAAATTGCTTTTAATTTTCATGGGTTGTCTTCATTTAAAAACAATACAGCTACAACAGAAAACGAAAGAAGAAATACTTAGGGTTGCATCAAATACTAGCCCAGTGAGAATTCAAAGCACTGAAGGCTTCCTGGTACAATGGAAAAAAGCTTCACACCTAATTCCCCATGTGTAAATAAGTGGGGAAAATAACTGAATCCTTGTAAGGTTATTGAAGATACCATGTAAAGCGTCTCTGGCTTAAAATAATTCTGCAAATGATCATTTTCTTCCCTCCATGGAGGTTACTTTTCCTCTGCTTCTGGTTGGGCCCCACACACCATCCCCAGGACAGGGTTACCCATTGTCCCCCTATCTAGGCTTCCAGGCCTGAGGAATGGGATTTCATCTCCACCATCATCTTCAAGACAAAGACACTGGGTAAAAGTTTGTTTGAGTACCCTGCCTGTCAACATGACTTGAACACCTGGGGCAATCAAAACCAAGAAAAACTTTTAACTCTCTTACAAATTTAATTGGACAAATTAAAGGGAAGTTAAAGAAAAAAAAACAAAACAAAACCTTCTCTATCCCAAACAGAAATGTCACATAATAAGGAAATGCAAATTATTGGGGAAATGCATGGAATGTGTTTTAAAGGCAAATGTTTAATATTCTATTAGATAAATAAATCTGATTAACAAAAGATTGTCGCTTGAAGTCCGTTAAAATAATTCAAATAAGAACTATACATTACAAACTTATAAGATTAAACACGTACAAAACAATTACACATGTATGTATGTTTGTGTGTGCATATATTTCCACATACGTATATACATAAACATATATGTATATGTAAAACATATGGAGAATAGTATATACATATTGTGAACAAAATTTGGAAGAATATATGTGTTCGTGTAAATGTACTTATATATTACTGTGCACAGGGAAGTATATCTGGGGAATATAAACAAAATTCCCAAGGAAATACATCTTGCTGTGTAACAAGATAAAAAATACATACAAAAATAGTTTTGTCTCTCAGTCACACACCTATCGGTTTCCTGTTATAGTTGGGAGGGAGGGGCTGAAGAAAAGTTCTTGCTACTGGATTTCATGTACCTGGGCTCTGACTCACCCTTAATGCTTCATTTTCCACAAAATCTTCCAGAAGTTTCCCTCTGATTGGGACCTTACTCCCTTCCTCCTTCCAGGGTTCCCTGCTAAGTGATGTCTAAGCTGCCATTCTAGATATGTTCATCAGATGGCACGGACCTCCAATTCCTGAATTTTCTCCAGTGAAAAATATTAACTGGGAAAAGGAGAGAAGAATCGATTAAAAGTTATATTTTGCACTGCGAGTGGTGAAACAGCATGTAAATTAAAATCATGCTCAAACTGCTTTACCTAACGAGTTTCTTCTTCTTTGTGGTTTCACAGAGAGAAATCATAGTAATAACATCACGCACCTCTTAGAGGGCTGGTGGAGATTATAGGCCTGAGGTGGGAGCAGAGAGGGCAGAAAGGGTTCAGGAACTTTCTACAGTTGTCTTGTTAAGTATTACAAAGTTTTTCTCAGCATGCCAAACTGCTGTGTAAGGGATTTCCACACTGGGTTTCCCAAGGGATGAGCCAGGTTATAAGGTATTTCCTTCCTGCTATATCTGGTTAGTCTCCACCCTCTCCTATTCGGCAGGCTAATGCCTCCTTTGCCTCCTTACCCTCCAATCTCAGTTTAAGCATTCACTTCCTGTGAGAAGTCTCAGACACACCCTTCTGGTTTGATTACCTTTAGGTAATCTAGTCACTCCATCACCTTTACCATCTCCAGACACACCGTTCATGTGAAAGGGGACGAAAGACTGTGAGCTCAAACGTTCTCATGGGCTGTGGCTCCAGAGGGTGGACTAACGATTCTGAAGGTTTTCAAATATTTTACCTGAAGATTTGCCACAGATTTGCCTCTTCTACTTTTGAGGGGGATGTCCAGGACACAGGTCAGTTCAGAAATTGAACTGTAGAGTTGTTCCACAGACAACAATGAGGGCGTGTACTTCAGAGAAGCTGTTGAGGCTGCAGATTGATGCTTCCTTCTCTAAAAGATCCGATGAAAGTACTGTAATGACAGTCTGTGATTTTTAGGAGATGTGGTTTTGCATGACAGAGAACAAATGAACCTTCCAGAGGTAGAATTGTAAGTCAGAGGGGCGCCTGGGTGGCTCAGTCAGTTAAGCGTCTGCCTTCAGCCCAGGTCATGATCCCAGGGTCCTGGGATCGAGCCCCACGTCAGGCTCCTTGCTCCACCGGAAGCCTGCTTTTCGTTCTCCCACTCCCCCTGCTTGTGCTCCCTCTCTCGCTCTGTCTCTCTCTGTCAAATAAATAAATAAAATCTTAAAAAAAAATTGTAAGTTAGAAAACTGTTCGTGGCAGTGGTGGTGGTGGTGGTGGTGATATTTTCTTCAAATTGAAGCATAATTAAAATACAGCATTATATCAGATTCATGTGTACAATATAATGATCCAACCATTCTGTACATTACTCAGTTCTCATCACGATAAGTGAACTCTTAATGCCCTCGATCCATTTCACCCATCCCTCCAGCCATCTCCTCTCTGGTAACCACCAATTTGTTCTCTTTATTTAAAAGTCTGTTTCTTTTCTTTCTTTCTTTTTCCTTCTTTCTTTTTTTCTTTCTTTCTTTCCTTTCTTTCTTTCTTTCTTTCTTTCTTTCTTTCTTTCTTTCTTTCTT